TGTGCGCATGTGCACAGGCCTCCTCCGACCCGGATGTGCACCGGAAATAGCGCATGCACAAATAACGCTTGCGCATGCGCACAAGCTATTTCCAGTGCTCCTCCGACCCAGAAGTGGGCACCCATGCAGCACAGCGCCGGTAAGAGTGGGGGGTGGCAGCGGGCGGCGGGGGTCACCGCGGGTCGGATAAACGAGTCCCTCGGGCCTTATCCGGCCCACAGGCCTTAGTTTGGAGACCTCTGTGATAGAGGCCAGCTAAAATTTCTGGACCTTGTGAAAACATCTTGAAATAAATAAATAAATTAAAACCTCTCCCAGCCCGCAAAGTGCAACACATTGTTATAAAGCTTGGGCTGTGTTTCATCTTTCCTGACACTCTTTATGTTAATGCAAGAAGGAGCTGAACAGTAGCTGCATATTTTGCATTCCTGCCCTGGAGCTAGTGTTTGTTAGAGAGGCTCTGTGAGGCTCAAAATTACTTATATCCCCAAGATTCCAAAACTGCCAAGACTTTTCCCAACTTTTTTTTTATTCCTTTTCGACCACAAGAATTCTCAGGGAGGGAGTCTCCAACTCTTCCACCCAACAGAACCTGGCTGTCTGAGACTTTGTACTCTTGCTGTTTCTGTGGGTAAGAAATGTATGTAATTGGAGTAAAATTGCTCCTGAGAGCTCCTGGGTTTGAAAGAACAACTGTTAATGGCTTGACCAGATTTGTTTTGGCATTTTACAAGTATGCTTGAACTGTTGCACTGGGATGTTCTGCAAAAGGGGACTCACCCGTAGAGCTTTCATTGAGAATTTTGGCCAAGAGATTAATCTCATCACATACACACACCCCCCCCAACAAAACCCATCATCCTTATATTGCGCCCAAACCAACAGATTAACAGACAACTAACCAATTTATGGTAATCTCCTAACCTGTTAGCAACTCCTGCCTCAGTGCTTACCCTGGTGATGGGCAGCCTGTTATATTGGTCTGCAACTCCTTTACCATTAGCCACGCAGGTTTGGGCTGATGGGAGTTGTAGTCCAACAAGACTGGGAAGACCACGACCAAGGTACCCATTCCTGGCTTTGATAGATACTGACTGAGATATTCTAGCTAGCAATGCTGTTTACACGTCCCCCCAATAATTCATTGAACTTGGCAGAGCTTACTTCTGAGTAAGCATACACACAATGGTGCAACCCGTTTACTCATTCCAGGTGTCTGTAGGCTTGGCAGGATTACGAGGTGGTGAAAGAGAGAAGCAGACTGAACACGCTCCGAAATTATTTGCAAGCCAACCCGAATATGATAGTGATACACCCAATTCATGGATGGGTACAAAAGACTTGGGACGCGGGTGGCGCTGTGGGTTAAACCACAGAGCCTAGGTCTTGCCGATCAGAAGGTTGGAGGTTCAAATCCCCGCGACATGGTGAGCTTTCGTTGCTCGGTCTCTGCTCCTGCCAACCTAGCAGTTCGAAAGCACGTCAAAGTGCAAGTAGATAAATAGGTACCACTCAGGTGGGAAGGTAAACGGTGTTTCCGTGCGCTGCTCTGGTTCGCCAGAAGCGGCTTAGTCATGCTGGCCACATGACCCAGAAGCTGTACACCGGCTCCCTCGGCCAGTAAAATGAGATGAGCGCCGCAACCCCAGAGTTGGTCAAGACTGGATCTAATGGTCAGGGGTCCCTATACATTTACCTTTATAAAAGACTTGGGATCAGGGCTCATATTTTAAGAATTCCAGCTCAAATTAAATCCTGAAAATGACCCTTCTCTTGTTTTGGGAGGTGGGAATCCTACCATGTGAACCTAGCGCAGGCTTGTAAAATAACTTCAATAGCCTTCCTTCCTTCCTCTTTTTTTACTAGCCTGCTTGGGGCTGGCAGAAAAGGGACAGAGAGCACCATTCTCCTTGAAGCAGCCCCACTGCTTTTCTCCTAGGTGCAGTAGCGGGGTGGAGAACTCCAGCCTTCAGCTGTGTCCACACCATACGTTAAAAGTACATTTAAAGCACATGGCTTCCCCCAAAGAATCATAGTCGTCGTAGTTTACCCCTCGCAGAGTTTCAGTTCCCGGCTCCCTTAACAAACTACAGTTCCCAGGATTCTTTGAGAGAGGTCACTTGCTTTAAAAAGCGTGCACATGCAGCCTTCACCCGCCAGCCTGCTCAGTCGCCTGCATGGAATTGCTTCTCAGCTATGGCTGTCCGTCTACTGCCTTAAATGCATGCCTGCCCAGCTAGAGCTTGTTATATTACAGTGGTACCTTGGGTTACATACGCTTCAGGTTACATACACTTCAGATTACAGACTCCGCTAACCCAGAAATAGTGCTTCAGGTTAAGAACTTTGCTTCAGGATAAGAACAGAAATCGTGCTCCGGTGGCAGCGGGAGGCCCCATTAGCTAAAGTGGTGCTTCAGGTTAAGAACAGTTTCAGGTTAAGAACGGACCTCCAGAACGAATTAAGTACTTAACCTGAGGTACCACTGTATATGTTACATTACCTGGGTGAAGGGCAAACCATGAGGTAACAGAATTCTGTTTTATCACTAGGAAATAGCGGTTTGCCTTCTGAAAGCACAGATATATTCATGGCTGCCCCTGCAAATCTTTCCTCTCCCATTAATGGAGCTGCTTCAAAAAAAAAACAACAACAAAACCTCATCCGTTCAGCATTATTCCTTTTGATGTGCAGTGTGGCAGCCACATTCCCTACGCTCACCACAAGCAACGGTTGACCATTTTGTGACCCTTTCCCCTTCTTATTCCTCCTGCCCCATTATCTTTGTTTGGTTCTTCTAAATCTGTGCATTCTCCCTTTGCAACAGTGCGATGCGCTCTTTCTCCTTATGTGAAAGAAAATGGCGAATGGCAGATGAAGGTTATAGACTATATGGGACTGGCAGAAATGACCGGCAGAATCCGAGACCAGGGGAAAGAGACGGCGGAAGAAGATTGGAAGAAATTTAAGGACTATCTTAAGAAATATTGTAAAATTATTGAATGTTAGAACGATGTTGATTCAGAAATTAAGTGGTTTCTAGCTGTAATGATTATGTAATGAAGAAAAGAAAGGTTAAAAACTAAATAGAAATTAGGGGAAGGATTTGCTGAAATTAAATAATTAGAGATTGGAATACAGAAAGGGGAGGTATGAGGAGGTCGGGAAAGTAAGTTATATGAATATAAGGGACTGAAATTATACTTGTTGTTGTATGTGTGTTTTGTATGTATTTTTGGTTTTTCTTTTTTTTCTGTTTTTCTATTTTATATAAATTTTTGGAAACTTTAATAAATATCTTTAAAAAAAAGAAAAGAAAATGGCAACCACGAGTCTGTAAGTGGTGACCTACACAACATACATTTAAAGCACCGCTCCCAAAGTGTCTTGGGAACTTTAGTTTGTCAATGGCACTGGGAATTGTAGCTCTATGAGGAAACTACAGTGATACCTCAGGTTAAGTACTTAATTCGTTCCAGAGGTCCGTTCTTAACCTGAAACTGTTCTTAACCTCAAGCACCACTTTAGCTAATGGGGCCTCCTGCTGCCGCTGCGCCACCAGAGCACGATTTCTGTTCTTATCCTGAAGCAAAGTTCTTAACCTGAAGCACTATTTCTGGGTTAGTGGAGTATGTAACCTGAAGCGTATGTAACCTGAAGCGTATGTAACCCGAGGTACCACTGTACCAGTTCCCAGGATTCTTGAGGGGATGTACTTTAAATATACTGTGCGTATGCAACCGTAGCTTTCTGCAACAATGCTATCCATTTCTCATGTACTATCACTATCACTCTCATGTACACACTAGTACTGCGACTAGCACAATTGCTCCTGAAGAAGTGTGCTTGCACACAAAAGTTCATACCAATAACTAACTTAGTTGGTCTCTAAGGTGCTACTGGAAGGAATTTTTTTATTTTGTTTTGACTATGGCAGACCAACACGGCCACCTACCTTTAACAATTGCTCCTGTTAAGAATAAAACATGACTTAATGCTAGGCCAGGTTTTGGGGGGGAAGGGGGTGTTTGTTCCCCTAGCTCTCCACTTCACTTTTTCCAAACAGGAAGCAAAGTATTGTTCATGCCAAAAGATGCAGTTTGTATCCTGCAGGAAATTCTGGGAGGGAAGAAGGATGCTATTGTTGACATCAGTTTCCAGCACAGAATCCAGTTGCTTTGAGAAAAAGAGAATAACAGGAAGTGCCTCGGATTAGCTCATAATAACTGAAAAAAATCCCCTTGCAAGCATGCTTAGAATGGGCAGAAGTCCTTCCAATGTAAACTGGATCTTATATGTGTGAATCCTAAAAATGAAATACATAGATAAGAGTACAGCACAGAATAGGTTGCTATGAGTTGTACTACTCTGGGGTGAACCATGGGTTTGGTTCACTTTTTTTTTTTTTGCCACAGCCAAAAAAAGTTAAAATGTACCAAAAGATTATTATCGTATTTTTTGCTCTATAAGACTCACTTTTTCCCTCCTAAAAAGTAAGGGGAAATGTGTGTGCGTCTTATGGAGCGAATGCAGGCTGCGCAGCTATCCCAGAAGCCAGAACAGCAAGAGGGATTGCTGCTTTCACTGCGCAGCGATCCCTCTTGCTGTTCTGGCTTCTGAGATTCAGAATATTTTTTTTCTTGTTTACCTCCTCCAAAAACTAGGTGCGTCTTGTGGTCTGGTGCGTCTTATAGAGCGAAAAATACAGTACTCTTCATTATAGAAATCTGGCGGTATTTACTTAATAGGAACAGTGTTGTTACCTTGTATTTGCATCATCCCTTCCTCCAAATGCTGAACAAAAATCCACCACCATAATAATAATTTTATTATTTATACCCCACCCATCTGACTGGGTTGCCCCAGCCAACTGCCCTGCAAATCATGAAGAATAGATGTGTGAGTCGGAATCGTAAACATACTTCATTTTAGACTTTCATCAACTGCTTCTCCTTGGCTATGCAGTCCATTTCAGTCCCTTTCCTTTCTTTCCATAACAGGAATGCACCGCCACTCCTTGCCGCATCTTTGATTCATGCTGCCATCCACGATATTTTGCAGACGGATCTTAATGAGTTTAAAAAGCAGAGTGTGGAAGGGGAGGAAGCTGGAGATCACGAGAAGGAGCCCTGTAAGTATATTTGCCTCCCAAAGTAATATGGGAGTCTGAGCTCAAGCTCATTACTATTCAAGTAGATGTAACTCAACCTCTTTTATTTTCATTAATTTAAAACATTTTTGTCAGGGAACTGCCATCAGTGCCGGAGGGAGAGAGCAAAATCCAGAGGGATTCCAGAGAGTGTCCTGGGAGTGAGAGAGGCAGCCCATCTTCTGGGGAAGGGAATCAGCGTAGCTCCAGTGGAGAAGGGGGGCAGATGGGGGAATCGGCGAGGCGGTCCCATGACTCCTTGCCGGGGACCAGCGGGGAGAGTAGAGGTCCTCCGCTGCCTACACCCTCCTTGCGCAGAAGGCTTCCGCGCAGGGAGAGTAGGAGGAGACTGGGCGTCAAAGAGCTTCTTTGCTGGAAGAAGTTTAAGAAACGCCCACTGACGGATTCTGCCAGCGATTGAGACAGCGACGGGTGAGTGGCTGTCCAGACAGGAAAGGTTCACTCAGGCAACCCAGCCAGGTGTTGGGACAGGCTTACGCACGAGCAACCCCTAGAACCATTACAATGTTTATACCACTCTCCATCAAAATTGACTCCAGGATTGTTTACAGTAGTTTATGCGACATCCAGGTAAATTTACAATTCTTACAAGCATCATCACTGGCACATTTTTAGTCCGAAAAAGAACAGTATTGGCACCTTGAGGGCATTCCACTAATGGCATAATCACAGCCAAAAAGGTTAGCTAACACAGTGCAGTAATATAACCAGGAGGTTACCAGAGAATGGATGCAAGCTGGTGTTCTTGATGTTGCTAGATGGCAGAATTAGAAATAGTGCTTTTATTGTTTTCTGTCGTTTGAGAATTTCATTGCACAAGACACGGCACAGCTGCAGAACAAAGATAGCCCTTGATGAAAACCGGCAGGTTGTTGCAACAAAGCAAAGGAGAACAGTAAGACAACATGATCAGCATGACTAGCTGCATTTGGTCTTTCTGCACCAGCCCAAGGAATTGTTGGCATCCTGCTACAATATTTTGAAAAATGGGGACTATCAAGATCCAATTATCATGTTAGTTTTTGATGATGGCAGTGAAGTTGCTAACCAGCAATTTAAATCACTATTTAAATCAAATCGATTTAAATCACTATTTAAATCACGGTTTAAATCACTAATCAGTAATACTTGATTTAAATCATTTTTTTTTACAGAAAGACTCATTCTTGCTGGTATAATCTTAATATTTACAACCAGATGAAGGTTTCATTTTTGGAATAAAATTTTTTCAGTAGTTTTTACAGTTATATACTGATTTGGTTATACTACAGTATTAGAAATACATAGACAGATAATTATGAAATCATTGTGAGGTTTAATAAGTTAACTGTTTATATTTGGAAAACTTTTCTGCTGTACTTTATTGGAAGGAGAAAAATAATCATTTCCTTAATAACAGTTTAAACAATTTACAGTCATACCTCGGGTTACATACGCTTCAGGTTGTGCATTTTTGGGTTGCACACGGCGGCCGAACCCGTAAGCACCGGAACAGGTTACTTCCGGGTTTTGGCACTCGCGCATGTGCAGAAGTGCTAAATAGCACTATGCACAGAAGCGCCGAATTGTGACCCGCGCGCGCACAGACGTGGCGCTGCAGGTTGCGAACGTGCCTCCTGCACGGATCACATTTGCAACCCGAGCGTCCACTATATATAGCTAAAGCAGTAACATTGTAGCATATGTATCCATGTTTGTTAACTGATGTGGTTAAACTTTTTTAAAAAACAACAAGACACACCTTAGAGTTTTAGCACACATGAAAAACTTAAAACAAATCCTTATTTCCTGATGAGTAGCCTTTGGACTATAATGTAACCTAAATAGAATACTATCTTTAGAAAGATTTTTTTCCTCCAAAAGCATTTTATTTTAAAAATCCAATTTAAATTTTAAAAATCTGATTATTTTTATTTTTAAAAAAACCATTGATTTTTGTCCACCCTGTTGCTAACAGCGTTTCATGTTCAGTCATGCCAATGGCATGGGCAGAGAAATCTGTCTCTGCCATTGAAGAGAATGGGATGGTTACTGTATTTACAGGGAATCCAGTGGAGCCCAGTAGTTCCAATCCTGTGGGTTGTCACAGTTTCTCAGCCTTGTTTTTCTGTCTGCAGAGTGGGATTCAGATGGACGTAGGGATTAGATCCAAACAACCATGAGCAGAAGTGGGGAACGCCACTAGTGTGGTTCTGTGAACGTTTACACATTTGCACAGTGCTGTGATCAGTTGCAGGCATTCTGCTTATGCGAGACATTGCAAAAACTCCTGTATAAACAGATTAACCTCCTTAGGTTTGACCTCTCTTTTCTTGCACAGCGCTTTAGGGTAAAACAGTCCTTGGGGAAAACATAGAAAGCCACATTATACCAAATCAGACCATTGGCCCATCTAGCTCAGTAGATGGGGCTCTCCAGAGTTTCAGACAGGGGAGATGTCAGGGATTTAGCCTGGGACATTTTGAACGCAAAGCACCATTGAACCGCAGACTTCCTGTGAGCAGGGAACACCCCCCCCCACAAGCAGAAGGGGAACCTTTGGATTCAAGCCAGCAGTTTGGGTTTCATGCAGTAAAAATTGCAAATCACCTGACAGACTAAAATGCTATACACATGCCTATTAATGATACATTTCCTGTAATGTCCCCCAAGATTTGATCTTCCTAGTTGGCTTTCATGTCCTATTTGGGGGCAGTTAAACAGAGTGTTGCTTACTGTTGCGGAAGGATGTGGCTTTATGTCACGCAAGCGTGAATGAAAAAGCGAAAACGCCCTTCCTCCTTTTCTTCGCTAGAATGTGGTGGTGGATGAAATTGACAACGATGCGGCTAAGGCTGCCGTGCAGACCTAAACCCACATGTACCTAAACTGTCTTGAAGCAATCATAGCCACTTATTATTATTACTCAGCTCTATAATAATCGAGCCACTCGCTTTCCCTCCTAACCATTCCTCTCTCCAGCTACTCTTTGTAGCTGTCACCAACATTACCATCTGTTCTGTAAGCCGAGCACGAAGCCTTTGATCCCTCCCTCTTCCCCCTCCTACTCTTAGACTTCTCTGTTCCTTCGGTTTTCAAGGGGATGCCAGTTCTTGTTTTACATCACTCATGCAAAGTTTATATCCCACCTTTCCTCCAAGGAGCTCGAGACCACGTGTGTGGTTCTCTCTTCTCCTCTCCTCACCCCATTTATAGACAGAACAACCCTGTGAGATAGATCCGGCTGAGAGGAAGCAAATTGCCCAGGGTCACCCACTGAGCTTCCTCACTGAGTAGGGCCCCAGGGGCCAGCAAACTTTTTCAGCAGACCTTGTGGGGGGGGGGGCCGGACTATATTTTGGAAAAGAAAGAAAAAAGAACGAATTCCTATGCCCCACAAATAACCCAGAGATGCATTTTAAATAAAAACACACATTCTACTCATGTGAAAATGCCAGGCAGGCTCCACAAATAACCCAGAGATGCATTTTAAATAAAAACACACATTCTACTCATGTAAAAACACGCTGGTTCCCAGGCCGGATTTAGAAGGCGATTGGGCCGGATCCGGCCCTCGGGCCTTAGTTTGCCTACCCATGGAGTAGGGAGTCAAACTGTGGTTTCACAAAACCCCATCTCTCTCACTTCCCCCTGCTTGGGTGTTCATCCTCCAGCGAAGGATATTGTTGAGAATGTCTGCAGTCTTTCCAGGGTTGCAAAAAATGTTACAGCAAATTTGGCTGGGTTGAATTTTTACTGTTTGGCCAGAATTATGGCAGACAGCACCCAGGACATGGAGAAGGAGGCTGGGGAGGTTCCCAGAAATGTTTTTGTTGTTGTTTAGTCGTGTCCGACTCTTCGTGACCCCATGGACCAGAGCACGCCAGGCACCTCTGTCCTCCACTACTTCCCGCAGTTTGGTCAAACTCATGCTGGTAACCTCGAAAACACTATCCAACCATCTCATCCTCTGTCACCCCCTTCTCCTTGTGCCCTCCATCTTTCCCAGCATCAGTGTCTTCTCCAGGGAGTCTTTTCTTCTCATGAGGTGGCCAGAGTAATGTAGAGAGGGACATAAATAGCCCCAGGAGCAGTAGGGAGGTGAGTCAAGGCCAAGGTGCAAGAATGCAGCAGTGGCCCCCGGCTGAACCTTTAAAAATGCACACTAAATATTTTTAAACTGGTGAAACATGTAACAGAATCATGTGTCTGGATATGCCCTCTGAAACAGGAACATTTTCAGCAGGCACCTAAAAGAAAAAAACAGTGGTGGCACCTGCCTAATGTTTAGTTCCAGAATACAGGTGCTGCCACCTTAAAGGAACAACTCTTTGCAAATGCAGAATGGGCATTGCATGGCACTTGCAGTTCTGTAGCTCCAAGTCGGCACACGTGGGGCAAGGCAATCCCTTAAGAAAACTGGTCCCAAGTTGTTGCAGGCTTTGTATACCAATAGGCTTTTTATACTCCATATACCTTGAGTTCAGCCTGGGATTGAACTAGCAGCCAGGGCAAATCTTTGAGCACAGGTATGATATGCTAGGGGACTCTCACTCCCCCTGGCAACCGTTCTGCAGCATTCTGCACTAACTGCAGTTTCCAAACCAAGATCGAGAGAAGCCCCATGTAGAGTGCTTTGGGGAGTACATAATGATGGAGGTGTCCAGCATTTCTGTGTCAATTTGATTTTATTGTTCCTTGCTTTTTAAATTGTTCTAGACTTTTTTATTATTTGGTTTGTTTTGCTTTTATCTGTTGAGGGGCAATATATCCAGGTTATATGGTGTTCCCTACTCAGCCATGAAGTTTACTTGCAGATACCGGGTGACTCCCCATCTCTCAAACTAGCCTACATCACTGGCCTGTTGTGAGGATGAAATAAGAAGGGGGGGCAAGCACTCCACCCTGAGCTTCTTGGAGAAGGATGGGATCTAACAGTAGTATATAATGCGATGATCTTGCCAAATCCTACGTACAATTCA